CAGCAGCAGCTGTCAACGCCAAACAGTTATTTCCACTTTGTTTCTGCTGCCGCTGCCGCTGCAGCAGCAGGAGCAAGAGTAGACGCAAGAGCGGTAGTTAGGAGAAGAGCAGCAGCAGGAGGAAAAGCAGCAGAAGCAGCAGCAGCAGCAGCAGCAGCAGCCATCAGCAGCAGCAGCAACATGAACTGCAGCAGCAGCAACAGCAACAAGCAGCAGCAGCAGCACCAATTAGCAGGAGCAGCAACAAACAGCCGCAGCCGCAGCAGCAGCAGCAATCAGTCGGCGCAGCAGCAGCAATAAGCAGCAGCAGCAGCAGCAGCAGCAGCAGCAACAGCAGCAGCAGCAGCTGCTGCTGCTTACCCTTTGGGGTTCTACTGCAACCGTCACGGAGGCCCCCAGCAGCAGCCGCACAACCAGCCCCTCCTGTCGCTGCTGCAGCTGCTGCTGCTGCTGCTCTTGGCTCCCCCAGGACTCAACCACTCCTGCAGCAGCAGCAGCAGCAGCAGCAGCAAGAGCAGAAGCAATAGCAGCAGCAGAAGCAGCAGGGCCGATACAGTACGTTCAGTTCCGTATGCACAGCAGCAACAAAGTCAAAGCAAAGGCAGCAGCAACAGCAACAGCAGCAGCAAATCACCTTGCCGTATAACTGTTCCATCTGCTGCTGCTGCTGCAGCAGCAGCAGCAGCAGCAGCACCATCATCAGCAGCAGCACCACCAGCAGCATCCGCCCCCCCGGCAGCAGCAGCAGCACCCCCAGCTCCCGCAGCAGCCGCAGCAGCAGCAGCAGCAGCAGCAGCAGCAGGAGAGAACGTGGCGCAGCACCAGTGGTTACCAGTGGTCACCAGCCGCAGCAAACTGCAGCAAACGCCGCGCAGCCTATTCTGACGAAGGCTGCAGCGCAAGCTGTATAGACACTCCAGCAGCAGCAGCGGCAGCGCACCCCTGCAGCAGCAGCAGCAGCAGCAGCAGCAGCAGCAGCAGCAGCAGCAGCAGCAGCAGCAGGAGTTGTAGGAGGAGGAGGAAGAGGGGTGTTGGTTGAGAAGCAGCAACGATGCAAACAGAAGGAGCAGCAGCAACAGCAGCAGCAACAGCAGCAGCAACAGCAACACAAACAGCAGCAGCACAACCAGCAGCAGCACAAGCAGCAGCAGCAACACAAACAGCAGCAGCAGCAGCACAAGCAAGGATAGCGCATCAACGGGGGTTGCTGTCACACTGCAGCAGCAGCAGCAGCAACAGCAGCAGCCACAGCAGCAGCAATACACGCAGCAACAACAGCAGCAGCAGCCGCAACAGAAGCAAGAAAAACAGCAACAGCAACAGCAGCGAAAGCAGCAACAGTTAACCGCCATAGATGCAGCAGCAGCAGCAGCAGCAGCAGCAGCAACACCAGCAGCAGCAACAGCAGCAGCAACGGCATCAGCAACAACACCAGCAGCAGCAACGGCAGCAGCAGCAGCAGCAGCAGCAACAGCAGCAGCAGCAGCAGCAGCAGCAGCAGCATTAAGAACTTACTGCTGCAGCTGCTGCAGCGAGTCGAAGCGGAGCGGCAGCGGATGTGATTTTGCTGCAGCAGCAAGAGCAGCAATCTGTGGCTGCATGCGTTTGCTGCTGTCTTTTGCTGCTGCTGCTGCTGCTGCTTCAGATAAAGATATCTCTCTGCTGCTAGCAGCTAAATAAAATATATCTGTTTCTAATAAACTAAATAAAAACTGCAGCACAGCAGCACGAGCTTCATCGTTTGCTTTTTGTTGCTGCTGCTGCCACCTCCGTCTCTCTAGCTGCTGCAGCAGCAACACCTGCCGCACCAGCTGCTGCTGCTGGCACTGTACACTCCGCTTGCTGCTGCTGCTGCTGCTGCTGCTGCTGCTGCTGCTGCTGTCTGCTGCTGCTGAAGAAGGAGACAGCAAACGCACAGTTGGACGTGCATCACCTGGTGCTGCTGCTGCTGCTGCTGCTGCTGCTGCTGCTGCTGCTGCTGCTCTTTCTTTAAAACGAGCGCTGCTTCTTTGCTTTTCTGCTGCTGCTGCTTCTGCTTCTGCTTCAGTAAGCCGCCGACGCTTGGCTGCAGCAGCAGCACCTGCTGCTGCTGCTGCTGCTGTTGCTGCTGCTGCTGCTGCTGCTGCATCGGCTTGCCTGTTAGCATAAGGGGGAGCAGCAGCAGCTGCTGCTGCTGCTGCTTCTCTGCGTAATTCTCTTCTTATTTCCAGCAGCTGTTTGCTGCGCTCAGATGTTGCGCTGCTGCTGCTGCTGCTGCTGTTGCTGCTGCTGCTGCTGCTGCTGCCGAAGGCAGCCATGTGTCTCTTCTTCTTGAACCCATGACCATACAAACTGCTGCTGCTGCTGCTGCTGCTGCTGCTGCTGCGGGGTAAGATGCTGCTGCTGCCACTCGCTAGGGCCCCCATACGGCGAGCTAGCAGCCGCTGTGCTGCAGTTTTATACCATTTGTTGTCTGCTGCTGCTGCTGCTGTTGCTGCTGCTGCTGCTGTTGTTGCTGCTGTTCTTGGTGCTGCTGCAGCAGACGCATGGTGTGCAGCAGCACCAGCAAATGGTGCTGCTGATTGAGCCGCAGCAGCTGCTGCTGCAGCTGCTGCAGTTGCTGCAGCATGCTGCTGCTTCAGCTCACGCCACCGCTTCTTCTGCTGCTGCTGCAGCTCCCGCCACCGCTTCTGGTGCTGCTGCTGCTGCTGCTGCCGCTGCTGCTGCTGCTTGTGCTGGTCTTCTGAGGAGTCTGTGTCGCTTGACAGCAGCACAACAGATACCTCTCCTGCTGCTGCTGCTGCTGCTGCTGCTGCTGCTGCTGCTTCTGGTGCGGTGGAGGCTGGTGTGTCGTCGTCGCTGCTGCTGCTGCTGCTGCTGCTGCTGCTGCTGCTGCTGCAGACAATGGCATCTGCTGCTGCTGCTGCATCCCAAAGGTCTTCTTCTGATGCGGTGGGGGAAGGGCCTGTACTCATTTGCTGCTGCTGCTGCTGCTGCTGCTGCTGCTGCTG